AGGCACCAAAAACGACTAAACCCTAAGAATCAGTTGTCCACGTTTTTGGGGCCTAAGGGGTCCTTTATATACTTGTGTGGGCTGCTAGGGTTTCAGTCAAAACCCTAATGGACAGCTTAAACTCTAAGCAGCCCATGGAACCTTCTGGACAAGGCTATGGACGAAAATATGATGGGCTTCCATCATAATTTCGTTCACCCCTTATTCCTTTAGCATTCCTTAGCCCAATAACTCAATTATCCAATAATTGCAGTCCAGTCCCCTATATTTAATTAATCTCTTTTAGTCACAAAATTAATTCTTAATTAATTATTGACTAATATTAATTAAACAATATGATTTCCCCTTTAATATATTATTCTCATAATATATTAATAAATCATATTTAAACCTTTCTCTCCTTAAATCATCCTGCATATTGCTATGGTGAAGGCAACCCAAAAGGACCATGCTCATGATCGGGTCAAGTACATACCAAAATAGTTATGGACTTAGACACTAATCCAACAAGATCTAGGCTTCTATGGCATACTTATTACGTAAAGTCACAAACTTTACGTGCATGCATTTCATTTAAGGCTCTACATGCCAAGTCTAAGCTCTTAATGGGGTTTCATGCCCAAGAGGGACCTCATGCATGATCAATTCTAAGACTTTATGTTTCTAGAGATTAGAGAGAGTTCAGATATGAAGTTACAACTTCAGATCCAACTCATTGCTCACTTATCAACCTTTAAGGTCCATAGAAAAACCCTAGAACTTCAATGAAAGGAAAACTCACAGAAGATATGGTAATTTAGGATACCTCTGGAAGATGACAACTAAAAGTAGTGCTGATTTCCCTACCTAACTTGCTCCAACCTCCTCTTCCTTCAAGCCTTCTCCTTCAAAATCTTCAAATCAAGCTTCACACACACAACCAAGCACACACACAACCATGCAGGGACTCATTAAGACTGTAAAGAGACCCAAGGGAGGCTAAGGATCCTTTAAATAGGGACACAAACGCCGGGAATTAGGTTTTCACTTGCCAGATCCTACTCGTCGAGTCCCACTAATGGACTCGTCGAGTCAGTCACTTAAGTCGCGATCTAATCCCGCTGCTACTCGACGAGTAGGGTAACTGACTCGTCGATTAGGGTCAAAACCAAGAAACTATAATCTGAACAATACCTGAAAATCGGGGCGTTACAACTCTCCCCCAATTGAACCAGACTTCATCCTCGAAGTCCGCTAGACTAAACAATGTCGGACAGTGCTCGCGCATCTCCGCCTCCGGCTCCCATGTCTACTCGGATCCCCTCTGATAATCTAAAGGCCGAGTGACAGGTGGATGATAGATAGAGCACAGAGAGACCACCGGATGTAGTATCATAAACTTCGTCTTTGAGAGAGAGAGAGAGAGAGAGAGAGAGAGAAAGAAAGAGAGAGAGAGAGAGAGAGAGAGAGAAAGAGAGAGAGAGAGAGAGAGAGAGAGAGAAAGAGAGAGATGGTCACTTCTTTTTAATCTGGAAGGATCGATTGGAGCGGCAGTGTGGAGAAAGGTAAGATAAGGGGTGGGAAACATCGGGAAGACCACTGATGAGAAAAGAAGAAAAACAATTTGATGGTGGTCCAATAACAATAAGTTACTGTGCATAAGGGAACTCAAAATTAATCTATATATAAATTGAGCATACCAAATTCATTTTCTACAAAAACTGCAAGTGATTCAAGAAAAAAAACCTATCTTTGTGAAGTTAGCTCAGATGTTTTCCTTACATTGTAGATGTCCCGAGTTCAAATGTTAGGATAATTGTTTTCTTTAAATTTCATCTTTACGGGCCCAAAAACTTAATCTTAGGAGAACTGTTTTCTTTAGGTTTCATCTTTACGTGCTAAAACATGATATGTTAACCATGAGTAAATGCCCATGATGAAATCATGGCTTACGAAACAACAACCGATTTGTTCACCAAGTCCCGGTCCAGTTGATTCTACTAGTTAGGTGGTTTTTTTAAAAGATTGATTTTTCCCAAAATTTTATGCAAGGGATAATGACTTAGGAGGGTTATTAGGATCCACTGTGACATCCCCAAAATCACGGCCAGAAAAGACCGGTTTTGTTTATACTTTATTTCAAAATCAGAGTTATCTTTTAATAAAAGGGTTGCGGAATTTGTCCCAAAACAATAATATGATAAAGATTTATCAAAAGCATTTCCATAGAAATGTATTTCATTAAAAGACTCAGGATGTCATGTTCGTACAGATCAAAAGTATAAACAGTCCAATATAAGCCTTACTACATTATTTCATATCTACAGGCCTATATCCGTAATCCCTCGTCCAAAACATCACACCTATGCTCATGCGCCACTACCTGTAATGCATAAAACTGAGTGGGTCAGGCTTGGGAGTCTGGTGCGCACATAGGGTTTTCAACCCACAATAAATAAGTTTATTAATTTCATCAATCAACAATAACCTGATTACCCGTTCCCGTTATCCTCACTTTACGTCCCTAAACACCTATCATAAGGGACCTAGCCTAAGGATCATCATCGGGACGGACACTACTGCTAAGGGGATTCCTCAGCAATAAATGTCCTAATAGGCAACCATGTGGGGGATGGAGTACACCGGTGAACACATCGTTCACAACACCTACAGGTTGCGAGCCTGCTAGTGTTCCACTGGACCGTCTAGAAGAGTCTGTGGTCGTCATCTATACTCCGCTAGATGATTGGATCAACAACAACAACATCGAGGCCTCTCATCATTTTATCACACATCACCTATTACATCTACCCATGTTTTACCCCATTTTCGTAGATATAAATACATATACAGTTTAAATCATTGAAAACATATATAACAACGTTCATCTAACATAGATAGGTATTCAGATAATATGCACACATAGCACGTAATTTATATAAAATACTTCATATCTGTGTAAGCTGAAAGTAACTATGCACTCACCGGAAAGGTGGTGATTCCGAACTCAGACAGCGCTTCGCTTCTTAAAAGAATTTTTCTTCGACGAAACCTAGTATTATTACCACTAGAGTTTAGTTTATTATTCGTCGAGACTAATTAATAGTCTAGCTATTATTATTTTATTATTATAAGCGTCAAAAAAATACTTATATAACCCATAATAATAGCCCAAGTATTTATTATAAGTTCCTAATAACGTTACTATAATAAATAAAGTTATATTAAAAATAGCGTAGGCGTAGCTCACTTACAGCGGGTTTTATAGAAAACGGGCTTTGCTTGGAGCAGCGTTCCCGAGCCGAAAAGCTCTTCTTCTCGGAGCCTTCGAGCACTCCGGGGCTTCCGCCTCGTGCTAGGGAGGTTCCCTAGGCTTTTCGGGGATTCGGGGCTAGAGAGAGGTTCTAGAGAGAGAGAGAGAGAGTAAAGAGAAGAAAGAATGGGAAAGGTGTGAAGAAAATGAGGGTGGGAGAGGTGGTATTTAGGGTGAAATGTGGCTGAACTTGGTGCCACATGTCACCATTTGGTGGCAAGCCTTGGGGAGAAAGCAATGACCAAGATTGTGCCCATCACCCATTTTCGCACAGCACACTTCCGATTTCTAAAATCCGTACCTTTCACATACGACCACCGGTTTTGACGTTCTTTATATCCACGCGTAGGTAATAATAAGATCTACAACTTTCATTTTGACACCGTCAGTTAATTCTCGATCGATCTTACATTTAACAGTACAAGGAGATTATACTGTTAAATGTCTGCGTAAAATTAATAACTTCTGCATACGGACTCTGTTTTTGTCTGTCTTTTTACCGTTGATTTCCTATGATATCTTCAACTCCCATTTACGTTGCGTAAGCCAAAAACGCTCGAACTAAAATTCGAGTTTCAGGCCGTGCACTGCTAAGCCGAATCTTAGAAAAATCATAACTTCTTCATACGAAGTCAGATTTGGGCGTTCTTTTTATCGATGTTCTTAGTTTAACATATTCTACGACTTTTGATTAGATTGCTAAGGCTAAAAAGTCTTCTATCGTAAATTCACTATTTACGTCTCCCGGTGTCATGCCGATTTTGCCGTAAAACTTCGGCGGGCCATAACTTCTTCGTTATAGCTCGGATTTCGGCATTCTTTATATGTACGGAAACCTTGAGACATATTGTACAACTTTATGTAGAGATATCGGGATTATCTCACACTTTAATTTTGACGCTCATTTTTATTCTTTATTAATTATACATTTATAATTAAATAATAAACACATAAACACACATAATTCACATAATACTCAAATATTTCATATTTATTACTTCAAAAAGAGTTACAATAGTTGACCTAGACTATTACATTGACAAAAATGCTTAGCCTTGAAAACCCGGGCGTTACATCCATTTTGTCTGTATTAGGTCACTAAGGTTTTTTTGTGCGCATTAGACCAATATGGTTGTTATTACCATTTAGAAATAGTCCTTTTTACCGGTTTTTTCCTGTTTAACCGGTTACAAAGTGAATACATGTTATATACGGGTGTTACGTTGTTATTAGGCCATTACGTGGATTATTAGGTGGCATTTAATGTATATGTGGTCTCCTTAAATTAGGGCAAGACAAATCCCCAATCACTTTCTCTTCACTCTCACTCAATCGTCCCCACCCACTGTTCTAACTTCGATCGATCCATGATCAGATGGCTAAAGATGATACACCGGTCGTTGAAGTCCAATACAACGGGATGTTCATCAACAAACCATTTATCTATTTTGATCTAGATAAAAAGGAGATAATGTATGCCGATTTCAGGGAGAAGGGGTATGTTGAATTCATTGTTCCCCTCAATGTGATTACTAGAAGAATGTGCAAAGATGTATACTATTGTCTAGATGGCCAAACATTGTGTCAAGGATTGGCCACATTGCATAACGAATGCGATTAACATGAATTTCTTGACTGTCTTCATGAGAAAAAGAATGTAACTGTGTATGTCGACCATATTCATGAACCCCTGTTTGACTGGATTGAAATGGAAGAGCCTGAAGTTGAAGATGATACCAACTCCAACGCAGATGAAGATGTTGAATCAATGGTAATAGATAAAGAGTGTTGGGAACATGAGGTGGGCGATGAGGATGTTTCAATGAAAAGGGCAACAACAACTATTCAGAAGAAAGACAGGTTTTTGAACAAACTTTGCCCAAATGTTGAAGAGGAAGAAGATTCTAATATTAAGCAACTACCACCTGTATACCATGTGCAAAATTCTGAGCAACAATGGGATGAAATGGCTCCCATGTTAAGTATGAAATTCACTAATCCTACCGAACTTAAACAATGTCTTACCAACTATTTTGTTAAGCATGGTTATGATTTGTGGTATGAAAAGAATGATAAAAACAAGCTTCTTGTGAAGTGTTGCAAAGATAAAGAACCTACATGCCCTTTTCGGTTGTGGGCTTCTTGGATGCAAGAGGAAAGGACTTTTCAGATTAAGTCACTTAAATCAAGTCATAACTGTGTTAGAGATTTTAAAATAGGCTTAGTGACTTACAAGTGGATAGGGAAACAATATTTCAATGTACTTCTGGAAAACCCCAGGTTTAGTTTGAGGAAAATCAAAGCTCAAATCTCAAGCACATATAACATCATAGTTAGCATTAGACAATGTAGAAATGAAAAAAAGTTTGCATTGTCTGAGATAGAAGGCACTCTAAAAGAGCATTATAGTAGGTTGTGGGACTATGGCATAGAAATCAAAAGAGCTAATCTAGGATCAACCATGAATATGGAAGTTGACCATACCCTTGATGGAAATCTAGTGTTTAAACGGTTGTATGTATGCTTTAAAGGTGTAAGAGATGGTTGGGTAGAAGTGTGTCGACAAATCATTGGGATTGATGGATGCTTTCTCAAAGGAATTTGCAAGGGTGAACTCTTAGTTGTCGTGGGTAGGGATGCCAATAACAGCATGTCCCCCCTAGCTTGGGATGTTGTAACTATTGAGAACAAAGAAACATGGCAATGGTTTCTTGATCTACTCATGGATGATATTGATAGAGGCAATGGAAATGAGCTTACTCTTATATCAGATGGACACAAGGTACTACTCATGTTTACTCTTAACTTTATAGTTTAATTATCACTTAATATTGTAAATTGTACAGGGTTTAATTAAAGCTATCAAGGAAAGGGTTCCTCATGTTGAGCACAGATTATTTGCTAGGCACATACTAGCCAACTTCAACACAAGGTTCAAAGGTGAACATTTTATCAAGCCATTTTGGAGAGCTGTGAAGGCTACTACAAAATAGAGACATGAAGCTGCTATGCAAGATATCAAGGAATTAGATAGGGGGTAGTTGATTATCTCATGGAGAGGGACCCTAAATGTTATTGCAGGGCTTTTCAAGAAGAAGGATTATTTTGTGATGCTGTGGAAAATGGAATTTCAGAGAGTTTTAATGTTGAAATAGTTCAGGCTACACATAAACCAATAATAACAATGTTGGAGGATATAAGGGTTTGTGTGATGCAGAGGTTATACCATCAGAGGAGTAAGGTAGAGTCTTGGGATTTAACTATATGCCCAAGCATTAGGAGGAAAATAGGAGATTTAAAGGAGAAACAATGGTAAGAATGTTTGTATTTACTTGTTAATGTTTATACATGTGTTCATGTGTCCATAAAGAATAACAAGTTGTTAATGTTTATGGACACAGGTCTTCAAGTGACCATTAAGGTTATATCATCAGAGGAGTAATGTTTACTTGTTAATGTTTATACCTAACACAGGAGACATTTCATCCCATTGTTGCTCAGAATTATGCACATGGTATACAGGTGGTAGTTGTTCAACATTAGAATCTTCTTCCTTTTCAACATTTGGGCAAAGTTTGTTTAAAAACCTATCTTTCTTCTGAATAGTTGTTGTTGCCCTTTTCATTGAAACATCTTCATCATCCACCTCGTGTTCCCAGCACTCTTTATCTATTAACATTTAATCAGCATCTTCATCTGCGTTGGAGTTGGTATCATCTTCAACTTCAGGCTCTTCTATTTGAATCCAGTCAAACAGGGGTTCAGGCATATGGTCCACATATATAGTTACTTTCTTTTTCTCATGAAGACACTCAAGAAATTCATGGTAATCACATTCGTTTTGCAAATCCTTGACACAATATTTGGCCATCTGGACAATAGTATACATCTTTGCACATTCTTCTAGTAATCACGTTGAGGTGAGCAATGAATTCAGTATACCCCTTCTCCCTGAAATCGACGTACATTATCTCCTTTTTATCTAGATCAAAATAGATAAATGGTTTGTTGATGAACGTCCCGTTGTACTGGGCTTCATCGACTGGTGTATCATCTTCAGCCATTTGATTAGGGATGAGCACTAGGCGGGTACCCACCTCATTTGGCGAGAATCGGAACCGGAACCGGCGCTTCCTAGAAAGTTAGAACTGGAACCGGAACCGCTCTAGGCAGATCTTAAATGTTTGGAACCAATCCCGGAACCGGCGGTTCCAGGAGCTGGTAACCAAGTCGCATTAATTTTGTTAACTTTTTTCCGACAAAACCGCAATTTAGTTCGATCCAAATCAAATCAATTCGGATCAAAGACGGACCAAATCGGACCAATATATTCTAAACTGGTCTAAGTAACACACATTTATATGAATTTATATATATATATATATATATATATATATATATATATATATATATATATATATATATATATATATATATATATATATATATATATATATATATATAAACCGGTTCCAACAGGTACCCAACGGGTAGTGGTTCCGAAAAAACGAGAACCGGAACCGAAACCACTTATGGCGGTTCCATAACTTTAGGAACCAGGACCGGAACCGCTTAAGGCGGTTCCAGTTCAAAAAAGCAGCAGTTCCGAGGTGGTTCCGGTTCCAAAAGTGGGTACCCGGTTCCGATGCTCATTCCTACATCTGATCGTGGATTGATCGAAGTAAGAACAGTGGGTGGGGACGATTGAGTGAGAGTAAAGAGAAAATGATTGGGGATTCATCTTGCCCTAATTTAAGGAGACCAAATATACATTAAATGCCACCTAATAATCCATGTAATGGTGTAATAACCACGTAACACTCATATATAACATGTATTCACTTTGTAACCGGTTAAACATGAAGAACCGGTAAAAAAGATTATTTCTAAATTGTAATAACAATCATATTGGTCTAATACGCACAAAAAAAACCTTAATGACTTAATACGAACAAACTGAAAGCCTAATTATCCTCCTAAGTCATTATCCCTTTATAGCATACGGCATGAGTGCAAGACTTGCTCGTTGTGGCTGAGGTGGACGCCTATAACGGCGTTGCATCTTGTTGTACACCACCTCGGTATCTAGTTGCTTCTTGTCATTGGGCTTCTTGTTGCTGTTACAACATACAACAACGAATAAAAATGCAAACATTGCCCTCTTTTTAGCCGTTGTCAACAATCAAAACAAAAAATAAATAAATAAATAAAACATATTTATTCTTAAAAAGTTAGTGTTACGTTTTGTTACATATTTCCTCGCCTTGTATTATATCAGCATTTGCTTAAGATGACTCAAGTTGATGTTTTATTGATGACACGGTCTAATACAATTATCGTTATCTGCATCGTCCTCCTTATTGGTCAAAGTATGATCTTGACTTTTTTTTTAAACCTAAAAAAGAAGGTGTCAGTTCCTGGATCTTGGCATCGTCGTAACTTCCTGTTCAAGGGTTGTTGATCGTAACACAGGTACCCCGAATTAATTATCTAGACGCTTGTTCATCATTTCAGATTATCGGATCTTAATTTGAATATGCTTCGTCGTGTTAGATCTTGTTCAAAAGAAACTGGAATTCCCAATTTCGATATTTTGGGGGAAATGAATTCACTTTTAGTTTGTTTCGTCGTGTAGATCGTTTTTCATGTAGATTTATGCCGAATTCTTGTTTCTTATGTGTTAATCATGATCAAAAACATTCTGCAACTGTCATTGTTGTTGCGATTACCGACTGCAGGTTTTAAACTCAATTGAGAAATGATAAATTGGAAAATCTGTACTTCGTTGATCATGGAAAATTAGGGCATTGTTCTTACACGTGGTGCTAACTGTCAATTTTATTGCCATAACTGGCTAGGTTTCTATATTTCACAAATTTAAGCTCGATTGAGAAATGATAAATCGGACAAATCGTAGTGATCTCGCTATGACTAACTATGAGAATCATACTTTTGTGATGATGATGATGAGTTATACTGTTGCTGATTAATGATGTTGTTTGCACAAAAAGATGCTCAAATCCATTCACATATTACTGTGTGCAGATCTTGCAATGGAATTGGAATCAGATACAGAACACAACCACAACATGATGATCGATCACAAGGTTCCAACACATAACATGCAAATTGATCCATCAAGATCTCGTTTTCCATGTTGCATTGTATGGACTCCTCTTCCTGTTGTTTCATGGCTTCTTCCTTTTGTTGGTCATATTGGTATAGGCAGAGAAGATGGAGTCATTCTAGACTTTGCAGGACCTAACTTTGTGTGTGTAGATAACTTCACTTTTGGAGCTGTCACTCGTTACATTCAAATAAGTAAAGATAAGGTACACTTGTTTCTAATTTGATCAAAACTAGATGAGGGCAAATTTGTAAAACATCATTTATGTAAGTAACTTAATGAGAATGAATACATAAAAAAAACACTCAGACATAACTTAATGGGTTAATGGCTTGATTATTTTTGTCCTCATTAAGTCATGTATGGGTAAATGATGTCTGGAGCACTTAAAAGTGGTATGCACAAAGTTTGTTTCTTCTTTGAACATCTGAATAACATTAAATGACCATTTTACCCTTCGTCTAGAAATGATGATAAACTAAACATATATTGACTACAGTGTTAGTGCTCTATATATAACTCGATATCCTGCCACCATGTTTGTTAGAAAAGTACTGTACACACAAAGTTTGTGTTTCTTTTATGAATCTAAGGATAAATGACCGTTTTACCCTTTTTCTAGAAGTTAAAGAAGTAAACATACATTGACTACAATTCTCCATTTTACCCTTCATCTTCTACAACATCTGAATAACAAAGTTTTCTTCTTTTTTGAATGTTATGACTAAATGACCATTTTACCCTTCATCTTCTACAACAGGATGAAATGACCATTTTACCCTTTGACTAAAAACTATAAATAAAACTAAACATATGTTGACTACAGCGTTCCATAACTCCGTATCTAACCACCATTTTTTTGGATAAAGTAGTGTTGTACACAAAGTTTGTTCTTATTTTAACGTCATGAGTAAATGACCATTTTACCCTTGATCTACAACAGTGCTCCATAACATCCCATCCAGCCACCATGTACAGAAGTGAAGAAGAATACAAGCTAGTGGAGTCAGGAAGAAACCAACATGAACATACATGGGATGATTTTTTAAGAAAAAGCACACAAGAATATCAACATCACACATATAACATCTTAACTTGTAATTGTCACTCATTTGTGGCTAACAATTTGAACAGATTGGAGTTTCAAGGTGGAGGGTGGAATGTGGTGAATGTGGCAATAATGATTTTGATGAAAGGAAAATGGGTGAGTATGAAATCTATGATTCAATCTTATTTGCCATTTGTGATTATATTTTTTGTGGGGATTATTTTTGGAGGAGTTAGTTTTTTTTGGTTTTTGGGATTGTTTGCATTTGTTCTTGTTGGATGGTATCTTTTGGGTACTTATTGTTTTAGAAATTTGATAAAGTTGTAGTAAGTTTTTTGGGTTATGTTATGTATCGATTTTGACTTTGATAGTAATCATTCAAGACTCATGTTTGTATAAAGAATGGTTGTTTTTTATGTGGTAGGAATCATGGAAGTTATATATATGTTGATAAAGTTCCTAAATTTTATTTTGTTGTTTCTTCTTTAATTATCTTTGACTTTCAATGTATTATTTGTGAAGCATTTTTTTAAAAAAGAAAAAGAAAAATCAAATCAAAGAAGTTGGGATAAGACTTCCTTTTGAGCTTATGTCTCTAGTTCACCATGTTCATTATTTTTGCTAAACACAATTTCTTATTGCAAATGCTTTCATTTTTATGTTCATAATTTTCATTAATTTTTGAGATAAATGAAATATTCATTATCCCTATTCTAATTTTCTAATAAGAGAATTTGTTTATTCTTCTTTTATTATTTGTCATCCTATTAAGCCTTTTTCTCCAATTCAAATTTTAAATTTTAAATTTCACTTTATTATATTAAATATTAAATTAATAATATTAGAATCAAAATTAAAATAAAATTAATACCGATTATAAAAGGTTATGTATTTATTTAGATCAACAATTATAATTTTATATAATTAAAAAAATAATCTTTTAATTAATAATTTATTTAAAATAATTGATTAATAATTTTGAATTTTTGCTATGAAAATTTAATTAATTTTTTAACCGTGGTTTTCACGTGTTATAAATTAATATTAAAATAATTGTACACGCATTATAAAAAATTGAAACCAAATCACAAAATCTACATTAATCAATAAGGAAACTAGTTATCATTTCTGGTAAAGATCAAACTCTATGTCGAATTATTCTTTAAATGTATTTTAGTTTAAAAAAAATTATAGATAATACATGTCTTAAATCTAATTGTAGAAGTTAAATAATAATAATAATAATAATAATAATAATAATAATTTTTAATGTAGTATTGTATGTATTGTATAATAATGATGGTATGTTTGTCGCACTTCACCATATATATATATATATATATATATATATATATATATATATATATATATATATATATAGTTGTGATATGTCATCGGGACTTAATGTCGTCACTAGATGTCTTGATCGGGTTAAGCCTGAGAATCACAACAAAGAAAGAATTGACATCATTCGTCGTTCGGGAAGGGATCCCGAAACGAAACTCCAACGGTCTAGTCAGTATCTAGATCAGAAAATAAGGGTTTAACTTAAGATATAGGAAGAGGCGATCCCTTCTCTTGGTGGAGAAGGGTTCTTTATATACTTGTTGTTGTGGGGATAGACACCCGATAATGCCTTTTTGTCCTTTCTAAGCCAACAGGACGTGAGGGCGTCCTATTAGTGGATTGTACTCCACTAGCGGTTGCTCGCTATTAGTATAGAAGTACCAGAGGGCAGCGTGTTGTATGCTACACATGTCGCTCTGGGAAGCGCCTGGTACTATTTTGTCATGCTGTAGACCGGAGCTTCTTGTTCTAGGCCTGGCCTTGGTGCTAGGGCGTCAAGGCATAAGTGCGAGGTCGCGGAGGCGAGGGCCTAGACCTAGCATTTTTCTAGCAACGACCATTGACTAAGTCGTCCTTGGGTAACAATCTCGTTATCTTTAACGTATTCATAGTGGGATACGTTAATATATATATATATATATATATATATATATATATATTGTAGGTTCGATGATTGGATACAAACAAGTAAAAACAATATGATTATCACAAAGATGATTTTCATTAAGAAAGGTTTTCTAAAAGAGAAGAGGATGCACAAAACGATCACAAAGACAATTAGGAGTTAACCCTATTACATGAATATATACAAATCTATTTTAGAGAATCCCTTTAATCAAGGGATTAATTCTAAGCTAATCTAAATATGTAAACTGATCCTTATCTCCAAGATATCGGATCTATTATTTAAAATACAATAGAATACTATAATTACATACAATAGAAATACGGCTGTATAAAACGTTACACACTGACGTTGGGCTTCGTACGCGTTGGCGCTGCCACTAAAGTTGTCGTTGGCGCTAGTGATCAACGTATGATAGTGTTTGACTAATCAGATTTTAAGTTTCGACCTTACAATCTACCCCAATTTGATGATGTCAAAACTAATTAATAAAGAATGAAATAATAAAAGAACCAACTACATCTTAAGTATAACGGTGATATTCGCTCCCGCTCGGATAAACAACAGCTGAGTTTTGCTCCCCCTTAGATGTATAACCTTCTTCTTTCAAGAGTGTTTCTATGAATGATCAAATAACATCATAGCAAAACTTAACATTTCTCCCCCTTTTGACAACATCAATAAACACTGCCCTTTTTGCAACATATATGAATGATAAGAAAGCAATAAACATAATTTTATGTAGTCTCATTAGCATATCATGAGTTGCAGCGAAAACTATCAATAAATCATGTGTTGAAGCGGAAGGATACGAGGGATGGTGATGTGTCCTGGTTGTTGTACTATAGATCATGGACATGGTTTGCGGAGTCTGATCAACGTACACACTGCGTTTTTTTAAAAGGACAACAAGTAACCTAAAATGAAAAGAACATCAAATAAAGTTAAAGGATGGGAGAGGATTTGGTGTACCACACTATTGTATTGTTGCAATAGTAGAAAATTGCGAAGTCTCATCAGCTTATGGTTTTATACGCTGAATCATTAACCATTTTTATTAGAAGAAAAAAAAAGGCAAGAGTGGGTAGGTGTATGTAATATATCATGATACATGATATACCCATCAGAAGATATTTTTCAAGTTCTTATCAGTTTATGGCATTTGACACTGAATCATAAAGCTCTAAAGAAGAATTTAAGGGCAAGAATGGGTTGGTGCATGTGATAAACTACGATACATAGCTTAACCATCAGCATATAGTTTTAAACTTTTATCAGTGTATGGTATCATACAGTGAGTCATTAAGTTCTATATTAGATGACTTGAAGAGATGAGTAGTTAAAATCTTGCAATTCATCCATCGTGAATTCATAATGGTACCATGTCATACCTCAGACTAGGAGGTCAAGGACATGAATAACCCTTTGTTATTTTAATTCACAGGTTTGAATGACTCAACTGTGAAGCAACCTACCATCATAATTGATGAAACAGTTGATGAATTAGCTGAAAACATTGGAGGTATTATTTAATTAAAGTTTCTATACATTAAAAACAATTTAAAAATGTATCTATTTTTCTACCCTGATTCTGTTGTCAAAGAAATTAACGATTAATCAGATTTTTTTTGTTACTTCCTGCCATCAGATTGGAGGTTTTCAGAATCTGATTAAACTCAATTTCTGCCCAGATTATACATGAATCAAGGTAATCTTAAGTAATAAGTAGGGCTGTAGGGGTTGAGTTATCTTGTATGATATTATATTGATAAACATTGAATTATAGTATTATTTTTTACTGATACTCTCAATTAATTTGGTTTGACTTGATTTAGGTCTTGAATAGTGAATAGACATTTCATGAACCAGAAAGTGTCTGTTGGTTGTATTATTGAAACACAATCTGTTAAGTTTTTTTTTTTTTTTTTTTTTTTTTTTTATTTTTTTTATTTTTAGTTTGTCTTGATTTTAATGTTATTTCTTTTTTTTTTTTCAAGAATGGTGTTGAAGTGCTAGTTGTTTGTTGCATTGCTGGAAGCTAGAAATAGTGAATGGATATTTTGAAAAGTTAATTGTGTGTTTTAAACTTTGAATTGTTATTTGGAATCTTGTTTGTGTGCTTTAAACTTTGGATGTTTTTTAGTTCATGATGGTAACAAATACACTAGAATGTTCTATTTTGGATATTTTAATGTTTGAATTGTTATTTGGAATCTTGTTATTTCTCTTTTTATATTGCTGACATTTGAAAAAAACAAATAGTCATATACTCAAATATGGATGATTGCATTTTCGGATATCCAAATTAAAATCCGATTCCGTATCCGAAATTTCGGATACGGAATCGGATATCAATATCTAGTTTCCGAAATTTCGGATATTCGGTTATGAACACCCCTAAGGGATATACATAAACCTAATAGAGTAAGCCCTAAACTATATTCATTCTTTCCAAAGAAAGTACTAGTTCTCTATAGTCAATATCCAGAATATCAATATGTCTAACACCTGGCCGGCAGCGGAAACACTGGGCTGTGCAACTTCATTTTTTTATATAGGAATTCGACATGGCCAAATCTCGTGAATGGATAATCCTAGGTGATACTAAGAAGTCACATCCCCTCATTTATCAGATGATCCTTACTACGGGATTCCAACAGTTTTCAATCCAATACCCTCCAATGATGGAGCATCTCTACCTTCAGATGATCCATCTAAAGGACCGGAAGAGATCAAACCCATCGAAAAAATAGAATCAGTTGCATCTTCTCTACCATCGATGAATATCCCTTATCGTCGAGTCCCAAGAGGAGCCAAATGAAGTGTACGACTCGTTAGTCCATACTTAACCGCATAAGGATCAAAACGAACCAAGTAGAGACATCCTCTAATACACAGAAGATCCGATACAATCCTTCCTGGATTGCGGGCATGGTGGACAAGTGGGTAACGTAAGAAACAGTTGCCAATAGGTACAAGGTTGGGCAATCATCTCGATCGCAATCCCCCCACCTACTATAGAGGTTAATACTTTGTCTCAACTATTCAATAAAAGTTTTAAACTCAAAAAAATAATCAAAATTGTTAAAGGGAATGCTACTTGTTTCTTAGGATGAATATAATGGTTAGAAGGGCAACAAACCTGAGATTAATAATCGGTAACTGATGTTCATCGTCGCATCAACTTCGCGTATAATGACATGATCACCTATGACTCCAAGATTGTAGAGTTGAAGCTCTACATGCAACGCTCGATTCCTGGTACTTATTTTAAATATGAATTTTTGCATTTTTATACTTGGACTCGACGAGTTGGAGGCCCCAAACTCGTCGAGTAAGGGTGAATCTTGGATGCGGGTGGAAGAGTCTACTCGACGATTCGAAAGCAACGACTCGATGAGTAGAGGTGTCTGAATAAAACCCTAAATTTTAGGGTTTTCACCCTATTTAAACACCTTATATGGCCTCCACTCCAGCCTCCATCACCTTCAGACCCTATTCACGAAACCCTAATCAGCTTGTGAGTGTTCCTAAGTTATTTTGTGCCATTTTAGTGATTTAAAGCTTGGAGAAGGAAGGAAATTCTTGGATATTCAGGAAAAAGGCAGTAGATCCAGAGCTTAGGTTGCATTTCCAGCTTGTTTAAGGTATAAATCTTATAACTTGGCTTCCCATCACTTAGATCTTCTTTAGGGCTTGCATATTGTCATTTTTGGGCCATTTCTAAGTCACCTTTGGGATTTGAGTGCATATTAGAGAAATGAATTTAGATATGGGATCATTTGAGCTCAGGAAGCTTAAAGTTGCCACCTTTATTGAGCTATGGCCATATCCCATGCATTAGAACTCCTTTATGTCTTAGTTTTAGTGTTCTAGCCTCATAACACCCATGCATGCACGTAAAGTTTGTAACTTTACGTGTTATATCGACCCTAGGAGGTTAGATCTATGCCTTGGATGCAATAATCCCGACTAAAAACGACTGGATAGACTTGGACTTTGAGGGAATCGATGAGTCGTTCATAGGACTCGACGAGTAAGGTCAGGGTTCCCCAAACTTTTCTGTTTCTGAGCAATCTAGTTGAGTCTAGAAGAGGACTCGGCAAGATGAATGTGATTATGGACTCAAAGATCAAAGAACTCAACGAGTTCAAGGACGAACTCGGTGAGTTAAAGGCAAATTTCCTGACTGATATGAAGAAGAACTTGATGAGTTCAAGGAAGAACTCGCGAGTCAAGGGCTAAACGTCCCGACTAACATGAAGCAGGACTCGACGAGTTCAAGGATGAACTCGGCGAGTCATGAGCAAAAGGTCCCGATTCTATATGAAGGAGAACACGACGAGTTCTTGAAAGACTCGGCGAGTAGGATCGAAGTTCCAGTATTTTGTGGATTATGGAACTCGACGAGTTGGTGAACCAACTCAGCGAGTTGAGTCGACTAGATGTTGACTTTGAACAAGGTGCTGACCTTGAATTTGACTTTGACCGAGTTGATCCTTGAAAGGGTTAGGAGTATGAAAAAGTAATTAAGAAAGATTGTTATGTATAGGAGTTTGAGAGGAGCTGAGCCCAGCACCGAGGATAGTTCAGACATTACATGACATTAAGGTGAGTTACCTTCCAGTAAAAGTGGGTTGAACGCACCAATGTCGGCCCACTAGTAGTTGATTATAGTTAAGACAATGGTATGTATGATAAATGTTTGGTATGCCACTATCTGTTATGAGTTATGTGTTAGTATGTTATGATACTATGTGATAGTGGTAGGACGGGTGGATAGACCCCTGTATCGGTTGTAAGGACCGCCAGGGTAGGTTGGGCACCTTAGATATGCCTAACAGTATTTTTGTGTTATGTTATTATATGGTAGTAGTAGGGGTGAAATAGTCCCCGTAGCCGGTTGAGATAAACGGAGGGTAAATTGGCACCCCAGAATTGCCAGACAGGGTAGGTCGGCACCCCAAAACTGCCAGGGTAGGTCAGCACCCCAGAATTGCCGACAGTATGTTGGTTAGGTGGTATGTGGTATGATGGGGGAACTTGTGACAACCGTCATATTCTGGTCAATTCAAAGTCAAATAAAGTCAACAAGTCAAACCGGTCAGCTCCACTAACCCGTGTGTGCTTGGACTTACGCTCAGTATTTACTAAACAAGTCGCTACTCTAATAAGAAAACATGAATCGAAAAGTACGTACAACTAGATCTCTTTAACCTAAAAACTGTACTACGTGGCGAGCCAAACTGATAAAACAATGATGCATACTCATCGGGAGTGTGTAAGATCCTTAAACAAGGCTTAACAGGGTTTACGAACCATGCATTGCGATGCCGGACACTCACAATTGTCACACATGGATCCCCTCTCAATCGTTTTCACTCTATCTCTGACTATGTCAAATCTCTCCCTAATCGCTCCAAGTGTGTGAAATCTCTCCCAAATATCTCTCTGTATGAGAAATCTCTCCAAGAATGTCAAATCTCTCCCAAATCCCTCTAAGTATGTGAAACCTCTCTCAAATATCTCTTTGTATGATAAATCTCTCCAAGAATGTCAAATCTCTCCCAAATCTCTCCACGTATGTGAAATCTCTCCCAAATATCTCTCTGTATGAGAAATCTCTCCAAGAATGTCAAATCTCTCCCAAATCTCTCCACGTATGTGAAATCTCTCCCAAATATCTCTCTGTATGAGAAATCTCTCCAAGAATGTCAAATCTCTCCCAAATCTCTCCACGTATGTGAAATCTCTCCCAAATATCTCTCTGTATGAGAAATCTCTCCAAGAATGTCAAATCTCTCCCAAATCCCTCTAAGTATGTAAAATCTCTCTCAAATATCTCTCTGTATGAGAAATCTCTCCAAGAATGTCAAATCTCTCCCAAATCTCTCCAAGTGTGAGAAATCTCTGCCAAATCTCTCTCAAAAGTTTCCCGTAACTTTTTGGAATCAGTCGGGTCATTCCGGCCCTTAACCGGGTCAAAAACGGCTTAAAACGGGGCGAAAACGAGAAAAATAGGCTTTAGGAACCGAAACCGGAATGAGAGGCTTCTTAGGACCAACCGAGCCTCTGGTGGCTAAGAGAACCGAAGCTACTATTCACCAACCGAGCCTCTGGTGGCTAAGAGAACCGAGACCGAACCCAAGAAGCAAGAACCGGAACCGAGAGTACTGTTCACAACCGAGCGGTCGGTCCCTCTCGGTCCGTCCCACGCTCTGTTCGCTGTCTCGCTCTCTGTTCGCTACACGCTCTGTTCGCTGTCTCGCTCTCTGTTCGCGTCCCACTCCCTGTCCGCGTCCCACTCTCTGCTCCGCTTCGCCTCTCTGTTCTCCTTCTCACTCTCTGTCTCGCGCGCCTCTCTGTCCCCTCCCACCTCTCGGTTCCTACCCTCTCCCTTCTCCCCTCTCGGCTCCTTCCTTCTCTCTTCTTCTTCTCTCGGTTTCCGCCTCCCTCTCTCTCTCTCTCGGTTCAGCATAAGAGGCCGAGCCTCGGCCAGAAATTCGCATGTGTCATTTTTAGCCCATTTTTGATATTTTTAACATTTTAAGCCCGTTTTTCGTGATTTTAAAACGGGATTTTCTCCAGAAATTATATTTTAACATAATAAACTCTAAATATTCATAATTTAAACATATTTTGATGAAAATCATTATTTAAATAATAAAAATCAA